TATATTGCCCGATATTTGGGTTGGAAAAATAATCAGTGGAATCTTGAATTTCATAATTTTTCCCTTAAATCAAATTCAGTGTCACTCTCCTGGAAATTGTTAGTCAACTGTTCGCAAAATTTCATTTCTTCCTCTGACTGTCTGCCAATAAATTTATGAATTCACTAATTTCCAACAAAATATTGTCGAAATAAAGTAAAAAATTCTAGAAAAAATATTGGTCTTTAAACGATTACACTTTGGATCTAGGAATCTGTCGTGATTTTCTGAATAATTCTCTTCCCCAAACCATTAATGACGATGATCCTTCAACTTTAAATTCCTCTGAGTTATAAAAAAGAACAATGTTTCTTGCACATTCGTGTTAGACGCGTTAACTCGTCTCTCACTGCTCACCGGAATCCCTCTGTTTTCAGAGCGCTTTGCACTGGGGTTATATACCCCGAGAATTAATGTTCTAAGATCCGACGTGTAAAACGAGGGGCGTGGATTCACCGTTTTGTTTCCTTACTCTAGCTTCTTCAGTGTATGCATACATACATCTTTAGGAAAATTGCTTCTTATACCCACCAAGTTTGCCCTTTTGTCGGGATGAAATACAGCCAGGGAACACGTTTTCCGGTTATCACACAGCTTAGACGTTTTGAGGGAAAATATTTGTGGAATTTTCGGCTGAAGTCCCCAGGAAAAAAAACTTGCTAGAAGGAGGATCTGTCGAACTATGTAAACATGTATATATATAATATGTTTTTGTATTTTTTTAAAACTTTTTTTTAGCAGAATAAACCGGATAGTTTGAATGCTCTGAATAAAAAACAAGTGGAAAATTGCTTTTGTCACAGTATAATCAATATATTTTTGCTAGTATATTAACAATTTGCTTCCGAATGGAATTTCATGACAATGTATTCTAAAATGAATTCAATGATTCATTGAATTCAACATTGCCCCAACCTTAAAATTTTTTACCTTTCCCCGAATATTGATTTCAAAATGAATTTTTTCAACAACAGTTGATGCAATTAATCTTATGATCGAACTTAGTCAAGGTAGCATTCGGAAGAATCTTAAATTTGACCTGACAAAATTTTCACCACACACACACACACACACACACACGCGTCTTCAAAAACGTATCAGGATGATTCTAGGGGTCATGAAACGTCAACAAATCATGACAATTCCGCATTTAATTTTCGGGGTAATTACAATAACTTCCTCCCTTTGGATCGGGAAGTTGAAAAGAATAAAACGAAAAAAAAATAATCGAAATAAAAAAGCAAAGCAAATAAAAAATGCAAAAGAAAACACCGCAACTCTCCGAAGTAGACATTGTATCCTCTCCCCTCACGCGTAACGAAAGTGATTTGGTTATGTCCCACAGCGTTGAATCTACCGATTCAATTTCGATAAGTCGCCCCGACGAATCAACCATTCTTTTCTCGGGCATGAAAACCGGTAAAAAAAACCCAAGTCGTAAAATTCACGTCTTTTCTTCATCCACCCGCGATTCAAACTCAATCTATATACACCCTGTTGAAGAGAGGAGTTTCCACGATGAATTGCTGCATACAAATGCCAAAAACGTTGCATCACCCGCACGTCCTGCACCCCAATAGCGTGTGCATCAAATTACGCGCACCAATTCACACTGAAATTGAAAAACTTCAAGGGAATGCCGCGAAAATGTATATATTTCGTGGGCATTTATTTTATTTATTTATTTTCTCAGGGTTTATTTTGGCAGACGATCGTCTCGACGCTCGGTTTTTGTGCAATTGCCCATTCTTCGGATGCGAAGAGCGACACAAAAGAGTTTTATCAAATTCATATGTATGAATAACATTGGGAGAATGAGTTTACTTCTTTTAAATTAAATAAATGGACTTATTAGAATGCTAAAGGTTCTCTTCAAACATGAACTTGATTTTTGCTCGCGTTTTTCGTTTAGATCAACTTTTCACAAGATATGGAACATTATATAAAGTTCCGTATTCAGTGAAAAAATGCATGGGCAATATCTCGAATCGCAAAGGAGAACCCGAAATAGTGGATATCTCGAATGAATGGAAAAAGTAAGGCGGTTTTCATGAGTACAGTTGTCTTGCGTCGAATTTCCATGAAGCCTGCGTAACGAACAAAAGAGAATTGAATACCATTTTATGAAACAAGCATGATAAATAAAGGTCTCTGCAATTTTGAAATTCCGGTGCCATCTCCTCTCAACGCGTAATACTCATCTGATAATAATAAATACATTTCCATAGAAATAAAAATATTTCAAAAATCTTGAATCGAACAGAATTTATGATATCAATAACCGATGGCCTTGCTCCCTCTATTTTGATAAGCCATAATAACATCACAGATAAACGACATATACGACGTATCTACAGATGAAGACTGCGTTTTATTGTCAACCGCAGATATCAAATATATCACATTGATCGGTCCTCCATAACAGAATATAAATCCGTTTACTTTACTCAATGGGTTTATCGTTGTTACGTCTATTGGTTCTGCAGTGGGTTGTATCGATACAGCATTTATCTCGTCGGTTGCGGAAACTTCGGTTTCAGCAGTAAGAGTCCCAGATCACGAGACGAGATTCAGGGATGGAGTGAAAATACTGAGATCGAGCATAACAGGCCGATAAATACGAATGAATGAACGTCTCATGCACCTGAAGAAATAATAATTCCTTATTTTGAGATTTCAAATGTTTTCGAATAAGATTTTCAAAAGTCTTCGGTTGAAGCCTGAAAGTCTTAAGTTGGGACTCAAAATGAATTTCTACCGTCATTTAATTATTAGTAATATTAGTAATTATTAGTCATCGTTGTTTTAGGCTATATTCGGTCATCTGTAAACACATTATGACAAAGGCACACTGTACACTGAGAGAAATATCGTCATAATATCACAAAACTAATTTCTTACGCCAAATATCTCATCTCTTGAGGATAAATTTCTTGGGATAAGAATTCCGGATAATGTGCCAGACAATGTCAGATTGCGGTGAAGTGTTCATGACTTAAACAGAAACATTTCATGATAAAGTGAGAATTGCTTGCCACAAGAAATCGCTTTTTTCGTGTCAGAAGATGAGAAAATAACTAAAAATATTACACATAGAAAAACCTAAACCTAAATTACGTTTCAATAAACGTAATTTACGCTTAACATCAATAGGATGTCTGGCGGATTTTTTTCCGTCATGAAAATCGGAATTTAGGCTTCAAAAAAGCATATTTTATGGTCAAAATAAAAATGTAAATTCCGCCTAAATAAAGCGTATTTTACGTTTATCAAAACGTAAATTACTTTTATCAAAAATACGAAAAAATCAGCGTAATTTACGAATACGAGATCGTAAATTACGTCTATGTAATCGTAACTTACGACCATTTTGAGCATAATTTACGCTTCAACTTCAAGCATAAAATACGCTTCCGAAAGCGTAAAAGACGACTTCTTAAACGTTATTTACGTTTAAGTTTTTGTGTGTGTAAAAGCTTCGATTCAGTGAATCGTAAATCAAAGACTCTCATATTGAATGAATTGAGTTTATGTAGAGGAAAATCTCCAGATATTAAAAAAATATAACCGTCGCTTACGCTCAATAGTTTTGAATTAGAAGGGAAGCAATATCTTCTTTTTCTTCTATCAAACTATTCTTGTCTTTTAAGGAATATTATCTCATTTCGAAAAAAGGCATCACCTTTTTATTCGGTAACTTCCTCCTCAGCCCGAAGAGCACCGATTTTTTGTCTGAAACCTACCATAAATTGGTCAAATATGTATACAATGGTTGTGGCTTAAGAAATTATTTTTGTGATATTATGTCGATTTTTCGTTTAGTATATGAAATATGCTATTTACTAATATTTAATTGAATATTCTTTTATTTGGGGGGATAACTACACGAATAATAGCGATTTTCGATCCTTTTCAATTACTTGTCTCACTGAAAAAATTGTGAACCGCCGAACTACGGCGAAAGACAAACTCTAATTGGCGCCAAAATTCTTGTCAATTTATTGACAACTAGAACAGGGCGCTTTTATTTTCCATGTGTACCAGAATAATAAAACCTTACCGTTTCTCATTATCATTAATTTTTATCTCAATAATAATGCAGGAAAAATGAATGATTTCAACAAAGTTTTTCACAATGAGATTTCAATTGTTGAATAATTTATTCGGAATCGTCATAATCCTTTGCCTCTTTCAAAAAATGATTGTTTTTTAAATCGAGTATCTACTAAATTTATACATTGATAATACACATAAAGGTTACAAATCGTTAACAAACAAAGGAAAAGTAATTTAATCGTAAATATCATATTTTTCATTGAAGAATTCAATTTTCAGAGAAAACCAATGACTCAATCAATCAACCGTTTTTATCCTATGAATCAAAAAATAAAATATGAATCTTGGACACATCTTAGTAATCATAATTTTTTTTTAAAGTGGATTCTTAGAAAATTAGATGTTTGAGTAATCAGCGATTGAAAAAAAAACGTTTTCTCGTGTAAACCTCGTCAAACTAAAGATACTGCTACGCATGTTATCCAATTTTTAAGGGTTTATCATGTTCTTTGAGTGGGTCGAAGTACGATTTGACAGCTTGAAATCCCGCTGCGATATTGAGGTCAATTTGGAAAAAAAAATTGGGACAAATTTTTGGACTAACAATTTTCAAAAAAATATAACTCCCTCAATTATCAATATTCTTCAACTTTTCGTTTGCAAATTTTTTTCTAATCGCCATGTTTTCCGAAAAAAAAATAAGACGAAAATCCCCAGTATCAACTTTTTTGTCCTGCTGATTTGGCGTGGATCTGCTCATATCAATACCGTAATTCCTTGCTAAATCATTGAATTTCTATTCAAATTCCTACAACTTTATCGTGACGATCCGCTGATCCTCCTGCTATGATTGCCATATGGCTCTGAACAATCTGTCTTCATTACCGTTTATTGTCTCTTTTCAGGTGAAGTGAGTCAACAATTCTTCCAAGTGAGGCCCGTTAACAAGTCGGTGCAGGAGGGTGGCTCTGTAATGATTCCCTGCGTCGTGGCGAATCGAATGGGCATCGTCCAATGGGCCAAGGATGGATTTGCCTTTGTCGTTCAACCTGGTAATATGAATTTCTGATAATATTCTTCATTAATTATCAATTAATGAAAATAACCTTGAAAAAATAGTTTTTTTCATTTTTATAAAATTTAGATTAGATAAATTTATTAATAATGAATATAAAAAATTAATAAATAAAGTAATAATAATAGTATTTCGAAATGTCATTTAAGGGGACTACTATGGGCTTTAAAAGTCGCAGGCTATTGGAATGAAATTTCTCATGTATTGAAGATCCATTATTTATGGCTAAAAACGAATAATTAGTGCAAAAAAATTAATTGGTTATTGTTCGCTTGCCCCGCAGATGCTTAAAATGTTAAAAATAGTCCAGGGCCTCCAACTTTTGAGCTACAGAGGTTTTTTTTTCAACATTTTTGAAAAAATATGTGCAATAACAATTACGAATTAGTTTTTTGAAATTCAACTCCTACGCAGCTAATTTCGTTGTTTTTTTAGTAAAAAACTTCACCATTCATGTAAAACAGCCCGAAAACTGTTTCTGAAAGAATTGAGAGTATATTTTAAATATTTTAAGGATAATTTTTCTACCTATTTTAAATCAATGGTGCAAATTTTTATATTAAACAAAACGACCGGCGGCGGTGGCTGTATGGTTAGAGTGTGGGAATGGCATGCGGGAGACCCGGGTTCGATTCCCGGCTGGGGGGGCCAAAATTTGTGACACTCTAAATCTCACGGTTTCATTGTCGAGCGGGAGTCTCGCAAGAGACGCCTGTACCTGGGCAGGTTTTTCCCTCAAATGAGGTTTTCCCTTGTCCTTCGGCGAATGTGATACAGGGGGTTGGGGGGTGGGAATTGAACAAATCGTAAAGACCCGGAAGGGTATACGAGAAGAAAAAAAAATTAAACAAAACGAAATTAGCTGTGTAGGAGTCGAATGTCAAAAAAATAATTCATAATTGTTATTGTGCACATTTTTTCAAAAATTTTGAAAGAAAACCTCTGTAACTTAAAAATTGGAGGCCCTGGACTAATTTTAACATCTTAAGCGTCTGCAGGACAAACGAATAATGCACGATTAATTTTATATGATACGTGCGTGTAATCGCATTAATTTCAGTTGACTATAGTCAACTGGAAAGTAGCGGGTTTCGAGCGCCTATCCACACTCAACGAAAACCTGAAATAACGCATGACGCGCATGCGCATCACCTATTAAAAGAGAATAACAAGGAAATCTAACCTCCGAATAGTGAATACATGGAATGACTGAAAAATGAAAAGGTGATTTTCGAAGCAGATAAAATGAGCCAAAATCGTATAATTCCTGATAGTGATGAAGAGTTAGGCAGTGAGGAGGATTTATTTACTGATGAGGAGGAGTTGATTGGTGATGTGACATTTGAAAAAAATGGAAATGAAATATTCTCCAATGAAGCAACAGCAGGATCGCCAAAAACTCCTTCTTCGATCAAATACTGTAACTTAAGGGCTTTATTGAATTCTAATGATCAAAATAATGTCGAGGAAACAGAGAAAAATTATTTTTGCTTTTCAGAGACATGTCACAGAATTCACCGAAACTTCACTGAAATTTGGTGATTGATTTCTAGAACTTAGTGACAAGTCATTGAGAATTCAGTAACGAAAATGAAATTTTTCAATCACACTTTTTTATAATTACTTTTTTAAATAAATGTGATCTTTTTTCTTCAGT